AATAAAAAGAAGTACTATGTTTTGGTACTTCTATAAAGTTTTGGGAGGCTGATCTTGAACGGGTGTCATTAGACACCTCTGTTGCTCTAAAGACATCGTCTAGCTACCCTGCCTCTTTGGCGTTTCTCCCTAGAAACCTCTGTTGCTCTAAAGACAGACTTAAACGTGGTCCTTGAGTCGTCCCAGCTGCTGTGGACATCGTCTCCACCTGATATTAGGCATGAAGTAAACAAAATTCATCAAAATGTATAGGTGATTGACAACTTAATGGCCCGCAAGTGTATGTGTTACGTACATCTTACATAAACAGATATGCACAGGGATGTACTTTCTGCTTCTATGGATGCTCTGGGGAAGAATCAGGTTTCTCTATTAATACTAACGCCGATATTTAGAATACACGGTACAAAGGAGGCGTTGTTATTCCAGTATACACATGTATATTATAGTTCTGTTTTTAAAGCAGGCAAAATATTTAGACAGTCGTATTGGAAAGCGATTTAACGCACTCGCCATTCTGGCATTCAGTGTTTTCCGAGTACAGGTGAGTCACGTGAGCGCATGGCATTAAACCGTAATACGGATAAAATTCAAAGTGCACGATGGGTGGTCACTAATCTGAAAGATCGATTAACATATTTAGGGAGGAGAGAAAAGCTACCATCAAATACATTCAAACGCGCCATAAATTCCTAAACTGGAACCAAAACTACGGTGTTCATCACATTTCTAGGCTTGGCCTATATGTAGCTAAGCCTAATGCAACTTCATGTACGACAATTAAGCACATATCGCCATTTTAGTACTAATTTGTTGTGGGAAATATTTCCACGAATTCGACCCGCAACCTTCCGTATAAATGCAACAGTTACTTAACGCCTAATCTTATACCCGTCAAAGCAGGAGACGAAGAATTCAATCAAAACTTAATTGAAGAAGAACGTTAATCATGGATTGTCATTCCACGAACCTGGTCGATGGTCATATTACGGCTTGGAAGCAGACGGCTCATACTATACGGAAGGGACCCTTTATACGAACGCACTACGTACCGACTTGTTAATTGTATTACTCCCCTATCATAAAGGGAGTATTCTAGTATGTTCACTGTGTTCATAGTGGCAGAACAGGGTCGCATTTTTCTTCCTGTGTACACCTTATAAAGGGGAATTACAGCCCATGACTCGTTCTGGGACTAATGAGCATAGTCCCTGTTTGTACCTAAAATAGACACAGACGTGTATTAATAGAATAAATATTTAACACGTTTGGAACATCCTATGCCTGTAGTAGTCAGCTATCTCGGACAGCGGCTTCGATGATAAATATAGAGGATCAACACGAAATGCAAATTCCACAGACAAACAGTAGCCCACCTGATGTTCTGATCGTGGTTCTAGATCCATTCACTCAATAACAGAGAACATGTCTCGTAAACCCTATTTTATTCAAGCTAATTTTAATATGACGAGTCTAAATAACGATATTGACAACGCAATTCATCAAGTTTGTAATAATCACCATATTTAAAGATTTTCTGAAATATATTTTTGAAGTCAAATAAACACAAAAATCTTTGGAAAGTTGTTGCCAAAATTCTTCGATTAAGAAACAAACAATCTGATTAAAATCATCCGTTACATGGCTCAGGCGTAGTACGAAGTTAACGAAGCCATGTAACAGATGATTTTAATCAGATTGAGAAACAAACAAACAAACACACGTGAATATGACAGGTCAACTTTGTAAGCTATTCGCCGAGAAACAATTAGACCTACAATGCATGCCTAACTGGAATTAGTTTCAAAGACTGACCCATTCCTTACCATTCGCCCGCAAGTATTTGTCAAATTGCCTACCAGAAATAAGCTTTGAAAATTTACATTAAGTTGACCTTTTGGTAATTGAAGCTGCTTTCTTCTTTATATGTTTTTGTTTTGTTGCTGTTCGACTGGTGATGTTATATGTCTTCACAGGAGTAAATGAAGCACGGAACACAATGTATAGTGAACCACTATAAATAAACAAAGCTGGAAGGTCGTGTTTGTTATTTAAAGCCTATCAAATGCAGATATGTTCCTCGTGTTGTTTTTTTTATATTTATTTTGTTGTACTTTAGCAGGGGGTCAAATATTATTTGTGCTGCTCTGCCGTCTAAGAGGCGAAACCGAAGGCAACAGTGAGTTTATAATCGGATGTAGCATGCGGTAAATATAATTAATTAAAAAGTGAATATTACGATTTAGATTTCTACATCTTGCGCCATTTTAACATATAATCACGATATATAATACCAGCCAATCAACTAACCAGCACCCTAACCACCCAATCGACAACTACATACATTGTACAATTAGTGTCTTATCAGTTTTCAAGTCTGTTCATTTATTCACCAAAATCGAATCCCTGTCCCTTAAATCGAATTCCTATCCCCTTAATCAACTCCCTGTCCCCCAAATCAAATTCCTGTCCCCTAAATCGAATCCCTGTCCCCAAAATCGAATTCCTTTCCCCTTAATCAAATCCCTGTCCCCTAAATCAAATCCCTGTCCCCTAAATCGAATCCCTGTCCCCTAAATCAAATCCCTGTCCCTTAAATCGAATCCCTGTCCCCTAAATCGAATTCCTATCCCCTTAATCAACTCCCTGTCCCCCAAATCAAATCCCTGTCCCCTAAATATAATCCCTGTCCCCTTAATCAAATCCCTGTCCCCCAAGTTTAGTCAAAGTTAAAACGTATTTATTTCCCAACAAGAATAAAGGATTAGGTAAAAGTAATTACAACTTATCTACAACTTTTCCCTATATGCATATTTTGTACATGTATACAATTATATAGATTCGCTAGGCTGTTGTAAATGTATGTTACGATAAATATCAATTAAAATCTACTACAGGATTAAAAGTAGTTTTACACGTGCCTAAATTATGCAGAATTAGTGTCTACGGCAACCACTCCGAGTATAAATTGTAATACATGTAAATCTAATTTGTACATTCAGATTCATAACATCAAAATGTTGGAACAAACATATCCCTTATATGTCATTATAACGTGACCATTAGAAGAAAGAGTGATACTTATTCTCGAAGGGATTTCCATCCCTACCACACCTACCACCCTGGCTTTCAGTAACTCTAGTCCGATTAATATCATAGTGTTGAGGATTTCCAAGCTTTGTGTGTAGAATATTTAAATATCTCTCACCTAATTTAATATAGATGGATGATCTGATGACAAATAAGAGACAAAAACAGATTTAAAGCGATCTAAAGGCGACAAGGACCCTACACTTTTGTCTGAATTATTACACATGTTCACAGTTCACAAGATGAAGTCCTATAATTGTTGTAATTCATGAATCCATAACGATTGTTGTCTCAAAAGACAGTGGTCAAAGAGACAGACGGTTATTTGGGAGGTAAATGTTTATGATTTAAATGCGTCTTCGAATTTTTCTTATTTTTTTCCGATTCAAAAGATTTGTTCTTAATATGATCACCCTACTTTGCATTCGAATTAAACTTAACACATGTACATGTATGCCTATGGCTAATTCACACAAATCAAACCTTTGTGAAAAAAGAAAATCTTTCTCACCTTGCCACCCTGACCCCTTTATGGTCCAAAGACTGTCAAATCGAGTTTCGGATTGACTGAATATATCAAATATTGATAATAATACCACTTCCCAGTGTTCAAGTCCGGTAATAACAGCATTGTAGCAACACTTCAAGGAGAAGACATGTAATAAACACTATACGTAGATATACACTGTCTGCCGTATACCCCAGTAACAATGAGCATGGTGTCACAGATGTTTATATATTGTCACCAAGAGGTATTACTTGTACAGTGTATATGTATGCATAGCCGCTCAATGTGGTGCGTCTCTCCGTATTGGAGAGGGTAGGGGAGAAACATGGTGTAATCTGTGTCAACACTAACCTTAGCCTCAACCTTTACAAACACGGCGGTGTGTTTCTACTCTCAGTTTGGAGCAGATGCTGAGGTTCGTTAGGAAATAGTCAACATTTTGCAGATAGCTCGATGCCATAACCTGACAGATATAGATCTCACCTACCTTATTGATGAAGGGACGCTCCACATGAGATGAGGACATGTAAATGTCCACTCGTCAGAAAAAGCTGCGATTCCCGTTGTGGTAACAGGTGGTGGTAGATTGTCACCAGCAAGTGTTACCAGGGATTAATGATCTACGTATACAGATACAGCAAATATAGTGCTAAATGCCTCAACAACAAGCTATGTTGTACATGTATATTAAGGCGTTCATTGTAATGCGTCCGTTTTTGGAAAGGATTGGAGAGAACATAGGTTTATTTACGTTCCTTCATCGAACATATATTGAGTTGTCCTGATGGACTTCGGCTTAGAAATGTTACTATGAATACTGGTATAGTTTGTCACTTATAAGAAACTCACTTTAGTTACAATATTTTAGATAACACATTGCCGAGCATCCACTTACCCCAAACCGTCGTTACCCCTTTCTGTATACAGAAGTCCAGTTCCCCTGGAACCCTCCCCCTCTCCTCCACGACACGCCCTCACACCTTATGCTAATTCCGATGGCTGTTTTGCCTCCTTTATATATCCTACCTCTAACACCTACCCTTACGACCCCCTTCCTACATTGAGTGATTCGTACTACCATCATGATTCCACTTATTGTTGTCATCATCGTGACATTTACTTTGTCGTTGATTGATTTTATAATCTTCATCATGAGAGAACACCAAACACATACCGACATTAAGTGTAAGCGGAAACATCTTCTAAAAACTACAAACTAACGTAAACCTCAACCCGCCGGTATATCTATTCTTCTGTTAGTGTAAGGTACAAATGCTGCAATTTATAAGAAAATAACCAGGAAATGTTTACATCACTGTAATGTTTAACGTTTGCAGATGCATAAGTGTCTTCTAAACATCTAATTTTGATTCTGTAAAGTCAGAATTTAAGTCTCACTTACCTGTTAGAAGAAAGTAAACATCCAGGAGTTAAAAATTCACGTGAACATATCCACTCGTTAGAAAAACATTACAGACTCGTTCCTATGTTGAGATAGCACAATGCAGGCTGGCACGTGTGTAACGATCGAACGCAATAAGGATGTAGTAGTATATGTAATGGTGGATCCAGCCCGTGGGTAAACGTGCAATGACCAGGTAAATTAAAACAACGTGCACACACGAAAGGATCACGCTTGTAGCGGTAGGTTTTCCTCCCTAGCGTGGAAGCATCCGTGTGCCGTGAAATCCATATCGGTAGCACATGAGCAGTTACACACCGTTCGGTACATAAACTGGAAACCCAACTCCTATGTGAGGGTGAGAGGAACGGTTAATAAAAGTTATATACCTATAATCTTCTTAGGAACTTTTAATGTCGAGTGCATCAGTTACAAAGCTGTAAACCACTGTCCAACAAGATGTCCCAGATGCAACCTGTTGTGTGCATTAGCGAAGCTATAAAGCAATACTTTGGTAAAACGTATTTTGTACTTATCCATACCTGTACAGAAACGATGGTATTAAAAAGGGGTCCACTTTCTATATACATATGTACATGTATTCAATGTCTAGGAAAACCATTGAACAACAGGTCTACAGTATGAACACTGACATGCTTACTACAGTTTAGACAACAACTAGCTTCTACTTGACATGTACTATTCAAACGGATTATAGGGGCATTTTCACAAGAGGTCTTCTGTATAAATTCGGTGGCAAAGTACATTTTGAATAAAGCATCACATATTTATCAAAGGACGACGAAAGTGAGCGTTATAGGCTGAAAATCAAACAGTTTTATTGAATAGCGATTATTGACGAAAGCGTTTGTGTTAAAATACACATTTGAAAGTAAACATCAAGTAGCCTGATTTTAATGGTATATCGTAATTGCATTCTAAGGAATGTATTTTATTAGAGTTTGTGCAGACCTATAGCCATTTATGTATACACTTACTGAACAATTATCGCTAAAGCGTGACCAAATGTTATTCACACATACTACAAAACGTCATTCACATTAGTTCTGTGCCGTTGATACCGCTCTTGTGAGTATGAGTGTTGACAAGGGACTACCTACCACACCACACACGACCTGTGGTAATCTTTAAAGTACTTGATACATGTACATTATGAAACAAACCCGAAGTGATTATTTTATTACGTTTTATGTCTACGCATTGTTTGTACAGTTGAGTCTGGTATGAAACTCGTTTGTCCGTAACTTGACTATGTAACGATAGATTGGTCTGACCCAGCCTCGTTTTTCCATAACTTATGTCACTTGTTTATGTTTTTGGAAACAATCATGAATTATCTGGTAATGAACACAGTCAAAACAGCATCGTCCGCCTAATGATACGTAACGTAAAATTTAACAATTGAGAAAAGTCAATATATAGTTGAATAGGTTTCATCTATCAGTGTTTTCATTAGGTCACAGCCTTTTCCAAATGTAAACATATGATGAAGTAATGTTATATTCATTGCGGAGATATAGGCAGGCGTTATGTCACATTTAGGAGTGCAACTTCCTGTTCACAAGCTGGATGCCCAGGGAAGGTTCTAAAGGTAGGTGTAAACAAAACGTTGTTCTTTCATCAAAATATTTGTATCTCTTCAGATTTAATGTTAGCTTCAATAAACTCCCCGGCGTATCGATGGCAGAAGAAGAAACTACACTCCCTCTGACATGAAGAATGGAAGTTTTATAAGATCTACATGAAGCAAGGTGGTACTTCTCACAAAAAAACTGAAAGGTGAACATTGTCAATATATGCTGAATGAAGTCCGCATCTCAATGAGATAAATGCTGATTTTAACATCACTGTATACACGGTGTCGGTGTCCCTCATGACTTAACAATAAACTATAGCAACAGCTGTTGTCTATGTATCAAAAGGGAGAAGATCCGGGCCGAACAACTGTTTATCAGGTGCATTGGAATTAAACAGAGAATATTGAATACAATGTATTCGTGTGAAGATTTGTATGACTTGCGTTTTAACGGTTTACACATCAAATGACAACGAAACCTATTAGTATTTGGCAAATGAACTAAAAACATACCATTACTTCATCACGCAACGACTAAGTCAGATTTAAATCTGATAAAACCCGATTTAGAACCGGGAAATGATAAGGAGGTAATATAACAAAGATAACGACAAATGTACCGATAAAGAAGAGATGGAAATAGATGTTTAGTTTTCTTTGTTTAACGCTCTAGAAACACCAAAGATCATATGGAAACGGTTGATAAGGGAGACACAATCGAAATTGAAGCGTACAGTAGCAAGCGTTCCCTACGCTACTTGTGTTACCCGTTATTGTGACTCCTGTTACATCCAGAAAACTATGGCGGTAACCTACGATCATAGTCCGTAAGCATATTCTCTATTCAAGATCTGAACTATTTTGAGTGGTCAGCACAATCAAGTAAAAACTGCATGCTTTTGTAACAGTCAAAGTAACAGAAGGAATATCAGAAAATCGAAAGCGTTGATCATATAATAAGCAAAATAAAGCGTCATTACCATTGCATACGAGTAGTCTAGTTATAAGAAAGGACATTTTGGCAGTAGGTATACGTATGTACATTGATTCATGTTAGATATGATTTTAAATCGTTACATAAAATGAGAAAGACGAATTTTGCGCCTATTGAATACAAAAAGACGAAGGACATATCGCACAGAAGACGAGTGGTGATAGTAAAGGTATTGTCCACTGTGGTGATATTTTGAGACTGCAGATTTTTACATTCTGCAGAAATATAACTGGATGTTAAGTCCTTATATAGGCTTAATCTGTAATCAGAGTTCTTCAATCAATACAATGATTGATTTGAAATGGAATTGAACTTACGTTAATTGATTATACGTTCCTCCGAGAACGAAGCAATTTTCTAAATGTTACGGTACATATGCGCAGATTTGTCAACATATGAATAAACAGAAAAAAACTATAATCTTAAATCTCACTTCATTTAATTATGTTCAGACAACTGTACGCTAGGCATGATGTGTATTGGTAGATTGCTATACGCTTAGTGTGATGGTGTGTGTGATGTCCCGTAAAAGTGAGACATCACATTTACTGGAAACCCTATACTCGTCAACAATGAATTATCCGTCTGTCTATATTTGTCCTTGTACAACCGTCTGTTTGTCTGTCTTTTTCTGTGTCCGACTGTCTGTCTATTTGTCTGTGTATTTGTCTGTGCTTGGTGTCTATCTTTATGAAACCAATATTTTATGTTCTCATTGTCATTGTGTACCAAATATAATACGTGTATAGGAAAACAAAGTATATTTCATAAATATAACCAATCTGTGTTTATTTATTTGTCTGCCCATTTATATCAATTTTATTTTTCATTACAAGTCAATACAGTGTCTGTCACTAAAGTAATTAAATCATGACTAAATCAAGCTTATATAATAAGAATGGTGTGTGATATTGACGTCGTCGATAGATTTTTCCAATAAACACCGGAACCTCGATACAATGACTCCCGTTTACATTGACCCTCATTTTAATTGCTACATGTACCTTGCTTACTACCAACATTTTCCAATATCCTCTTTTGTATTTTCTTCAAATAATTCCTTTGTATGCCCCGCCCTGCTAACTCCTCTATGGTGGCAGTATCACGAGGTTTTGTTGTACTGCCTATAGGTTCAGTAAAACCATACAGAAGCAAAGAGTACACAATTCATACAGAGGCAAAGAATACACAATTCATACAGAGGCAAAGAGTATACAATTCATAAAGAGGCAAATAGTACACAATTCATACCGAGGCAAAGAACACACAATTCATACAGACGCAAATAGTATACAATTCAAACAGAGGCAAATAGTATACAATTCATACAGAGGCAAAGAGTACACAATTCATACAGAGGCAAATAGTACTCAATTCATACAGAGGCAAATAGTACACGATTAATACAGAGGCAAGGAGTACACAATTCATACAGAGGCAAATAGTACTCAATTCATACAGAGGCAAATAGTACACGATTAATACAGAGGCAAAGAATACACAATTCATACAGAGGCAAAAAGGACACAAATCGTACATAGGCAAAGAGTACACAGTTCATACAGAGGCATAGAGCATACAATTCATACAGAGGCAAATATTATACAACTCATACAGAGGCAAACAGTATACAATTCATACAGAGGCAAAGAGTACACAATTCATACAGAGGCAAAGAGTA